TTGGCAATCGGTTGAATGAAATAATTCGGTTCGGTTAACCGATTAAGGAAATTTTTCTCGGTTCAAATCACTAATTAGTACCCTAAGTGCTGATCGATTAAGACCCTGGATACTATAAGCAGTGATGTTAAATGTAAACTGTTAGCGAAACAAAAAACAAACTTTATTGAATCTGATACAATATAAAAGTTGTTAAAATATCGAAAATCTGTTATTTAGGAATTAGTAAATCCTAATAAACTTTAACTGAACTAACTGAACTTTAAAATCTGTAGTTTAAACTAAGCCTTTTTTTTTTTTTTTTGAGCCCTAATATTCAGTTAACTAATTAGGGCCACTGCTTTAGATGTTCCCTATTTTTGGAAAATAAAATACCCCGATTATTTTACAAATTTGCTATAAGTGATAATTTCAAAGTGATATTTCAGTATCGACCATTTTACCAAGAATTGAAATGTCTGTTGCGAGTGTGAACGATCAGTATTTAGCTACCTTGGCAAACCTCCTAAAGCAAACGCTTGAACCTACTACAAGGCAGCTTGGTAAGGGTCAGGCTGTAACCTTAATTGAAAAGACGTGAGCGTCGATAATGTTTATGTTAATTACTTCTATGCGGTATTTGGTTCGATAGCTGAAAGTGAATTATTTACTGCGGAAGCCAAAGAACCGAACTTTCCTATTGCTATCTTGCAATTAATTACAAAAGAAAATACAGATCCGAGTGTACGGTTTGCTGGCTCGTTGCTCTTTAAAAATTATGTGAAAAGAAACTGGGTACGGGTAAAAATGAGTTATAGTGACGCGCTTGAGCATATTTCGCGAAACATATTCGTGCTAAATAATTATCTCTTGATAATTTATTAATTGGAACAGGAAGACGAGTCAAAAATTCCATCTGAAATTCGAAATGCAATTAAAGAGTGTATCATTGATATTTTAGTTTCGGTTCCAACAAATATACAACTTCAACTTAGCGAAGCTGTAACCTTAATTGCTGAAAGCGATTTTCCAGCAAATTGGCAAAATTTAATACAGGTGCATATGCGATTATAAGATTATAATAAAAATCCTTTTTATAGAATCCTATATCTTGTTTCTAATTCTTGCTTAAATGTAGCAACTATCCGGAAAGCTTGATCCAGATGATTATGCTCGGAATAATGGCGTTTTGCAAACTGCCCACTCCATATTTAAAAGGTATTGCAGATTTAATGATATATATTGGCCCATTTTGTCACGAACTTATTACAAATTTGGTTTGTAAAAGGTGGCGACATCAGTTTCGCTCAGATCCATTATTTGCCGAAATTAATTTCGTCTTGGAACAATTTTGCACTCCTTTTTTTCAACTTTTGCAGGTAATATTTTTAATGAATTATGTCTTTATATTTGCCGAATGAACATATATACTAAAATTATAATTAAAATAAATGTAGAATACTGACGCAAAGATTACAGAACATGCGCAAAATAAACAACGACTGCAAGTGTACATGCAAACACTCCTTCTTTTAATGAAACTTTTTTATGATCTTAACTGCCAAGATATTCCACCATTTTTCGAAGATAATATGGAACAATGTATGGCATTGCTACATAAATATATTGTATATTCTAACCCTTTGTTAGAATCAGAGGTAAATTTTATTTCGTTTTCTATGCTATTATTTCATATTAATTTAATCTAAATATCAATAATTATTTGTGTTATATAAGAGTGAAGATGAGGCAGGCATTTTAGAGAAAATCAAATCTTCAATTTGTGAAATAGTAACGCTATATACTATGAAATATGAGGAGCTATTTACTATGCTACCTCAGTTTGTCGAAACAGTGTGGCTTCTGCTGACAACAATAGGTATAGAAGCAAAATACGACCTTGTGAGTATTGAATTTATATTAATGTTTCCCTACAATTATTTTCGTAAATGTATCTTAATTCTTTTCATGTAGCTTGTAAGCAAGTCAATGGCTTTCTTATCTACAGTTGTAAAGTTGGAACGATATCATAATCTGTTTAACAACGAGACGGCACTCACTCAATTTTGCCAAAAAATTGTACTTCCCAATATGTATTTAAGAAGTAAGTGACTTTGCATATAAAGATATGAATCGATTTGACATTAACTACTTTAACAGCTTATTAATTATACCATTTATTCATCAGACATTGATGAGGAATTATTTGAATATGATCCTATTGAGTTCATTAGAAGAGATATAGAAGGATCTGGTATCTATTAATTTGTATCAGTTTCATAATAATGCTTAGTAATAATTATCCATATATATTTATTTTCAGATAGTGACACTCGCAGACGAGCTGCATCAGACTTTGTGCGTAGTATGATGACGCATTTTATGAAAGATATAACACGAATTATTGGAACATATATAAACCAATTCCTCAAGGTACATATACATTAATGTAATAATACAGAATGTTGAAGAACTGTCTGACAATATTGATTTGCAGCAATACAATGAAGATCCAAACAATTGGAAAGATAAAGATGCTGCGATCTATCTTTTGACTTCGATTGCTACTCCTGGCACTGCGACAAAGGTTAGCACTTTGTTGATTATTTCAACATCTTGTAAAAAGAAATTTGAACATTAGTGCATAAAATTTCTTATGCTGCATGCGAATTAATTATTAGTACGGTCTCACAGTGGTTAACGATCTAGTAAACGTTGTAGAGTGGTTCACTGAAAATATCCTGCCGGACTTGCAAACACCCGTTGATAGCGGGCAGCCCGTGTTAAAAGTTGATGCTATAAAGTACTTGTACACTTTCAGAAATCAAGTAAGGGACAAATTATTGGATCCTAAATAATTACAGTGCAATTATTCAATTGTTTATTTTCAAAACAATAGATGAGTAAGCCGGGACTAGCTACAGTGTTCCCGTTATTGGTTAATCATCTTTCATCCACTAACTATGTAGTTCATACGTACGCTGCAATTGCAATTGAACGGATTTTATTTATGCGCAAGGACAATGCTATGATGTAAGGTTTAAGATTGTTAAATACGATAGTATTATTCACTCTTAATAATTATTTGTCAAAATGTGGACATCTTTCAGATTCAATAAGTACGATATAAAACCTTATACCCAAGAACTACTTATCAACTTGTTCAGGTTGATTGAGGCTGGGACAACACCGGAAACGTTGGCTGAGAATGATTACCTTATGAAAGGTATATTAATACATTTAATTAATGTAGTTCGATTTATGTCTAAAATTCTTTCCCAATGTAGCTGTCATGCGAGTTATTTTTACGAGTCGTGATGATATGTCACCGTATGTTGGAGATATCTTGAGTCATTTAAATAAAATTTTGGGTGAAATTAGTAAAAATCCAAGTAATCCTCGCTTCAATCATTATGTTTTTGAGTCTATTGGCGCTTTGGTAAGGTGTGTATTACATTGTGCTTATTTTGATAATTTAGGAATATTATGCCATGTAAGTATCATGATATATTCATTTGTTTATCATACAGGTTCAATTGTTCAGACAATCCAATAGCTCTACAAAATTTCGAAAGCATGTTATTTGGCCCATTCCAGATAATTTTGCAGCAAGATGTTGTTGGTATGTAACTAAAATTATTATTTATAGTTTCAAATGCTTATTTAGCGATAAATTAATTGAAATACCTATTTTAGAGTTTGTTCCATATGTATTTCAAATATTCTCACAGCTTCTTGAACTACATACTGAAGCTCAGTTACCTGACGTATATAAAAGCATGCTACCAGCATTGTTAACACCAAACTTATGGGAATCAACCGGTATAGGAATCCTTTTATTTGCTACAAACTTTTGTGTAATTTGTGTGTAGAGGCTGAGTTCATTCTTATCGGCATATTTTATTTAGGTAACATTCCAGCCTTGGTTCGCTTTCTCCATGCTTATCTTTATCGCGATTCTTTAGCCATTATTGCCAATAAACAGCTCGAACCTATTCTTGGTATCTTCCAAAAATTGATTGCTTCAAAAGCTAATGATAAATACGGTCTTGAACTATTATGCTCAATTGTTCAATATGTACATACGTAAGTTCAGTATTCAATAAGTAGTTTATTATGCAATGGTATTTAATTTGTTTAAATTCATTTATTCTACTCCAGAGGAACACTCAATCAATATATTGGTGCCATCATATCTTTATTATTGAGACGGTTACAAAGTAGCAGGACCGAGAAGTTCGCTTTAAGTTTTGTAAACTTTGTGTGTTTCTTCATCGCGATAAACCTTCATGGTGGCCCTGATTATGTCATACATGCCTTTGATTCCATTCAAGACAAGTATATAAAAAATATTGTAATTCTTTGATATTAAAACTATACATGCGGTTATTGTTAATTAATTTACTTTATGAATTTCAGGTTATTCTTGGATGTTTTAAATGCTTTTATCATCCCGGATTTACAAAAAATTCAAGGGTATACAGATCGTAAGATTTGCGCAATAGCTATGATACGTCTCTTGACTCAGAGTGATTTGATCTTATCGGAGACGTATATCAACACATGGTAATTTATATAACTCTAAAATTCATGTAAAAGCATCATTTATTCATACATTTACTATTTTCATAAATTTAGGCCGGTTATTCTTGCAGCACTAATTAAACTATTTGAAGCACCAACAGAGATTGAGAATTACGATGCTGAAGAAGAACTTCTCAATTTTGATTTTGAAGAGGATAGACAATTTCAAACTACCTTTGCCAAGTTAACAACTGCTAACAAACCAAGGATTGATCCTACTGCATCTATTCCAGAACCTAAAGTATATTTGGCCCAGGAGCTTCAACGGCTTAGTCAAGCATATCCTGATGGAAGGGTATTTAGCATAAGCATCATAAACTCGTGTATAGCAATGTGATATCGTGCTATAACTAACTATATTTTTGCTTCACTGAAATTAGATAACTGAAATGATACAAACAAAGCTTCCTACAGAATGCACACATCATTTGGTCCAGTACATGTCATTAGCTAATCCAACCCAAGACTAGGAATAGTTTAGGTTCTAACTTTTAGGTTTCAAATTAAAACCTAAAAATCAGGTTTTTATATAAGTTCCAAGTTCAAAATTTTGTTTATAAATATAAAAAATAATAAAAAGTTACCTAATTCATATTAAACTTAATATTTATATATGGGCTAGATGCTGAGAAAAGGTCCAAATTAACAAATATTATAAATTTTATAATAAATTATAAGAAAATACAAACTTTAAAGCAAAATTTTATTGAGATAACAGTATTGTTAAGTAAAAAAATGTTTCTAGGCCAATTTGGATTGGTTAAACTTAAAAAAGGGTTTTGAAAAAATTGTTAATTTGGCCCTTTTCTTAGCGGAAAACTACGGGCACAACATTTCACGTGACTTATAGACACAACATCGAAGGTTAGAGTTAACGTTAGGGTAAGAGTATTTTAGTAATGCAGGTCATTGTTGTGCCCATAAGCGTGAAATGTTGTGCCCGTAGCTAGGGATTGGAATCGCCTAAAATTTTTCTTAATCGTTTAATCGTTTAATCGTTTAACCGTTTAACTTGGCCGGCATTAAGATAATTCCGGCCCACGACCAACATAATTCTACCCGGAATTATGGAGCAATTTTTAAACGGTTAAACGGTTCCAATCCCTACCCGTAGCAATCTCCTTATTCGGACAGGATCGCCAACAATAAATCTACCCCAGTATCGTTAAGTGGTCCGAAAGGACCGGGTCCGGACCGAGTCCGGGACCAGGACCGTTCAAAACCGGTCCGAAACTAGTTTTTATGATCACATGATATAAATCGAATGTCATGTCGAATAAAGTTTAATAAATCGTTCATCAGGAATGATATTATACATAGCAACCGCATAAAAATTTGCGGTCTCGTGATGATATATGCTAACATCTCATTGGTCAAACAAACCGCAGATCGTCAACGCGTTTTTCGATCAAAGAATTAACTTTTGACGTTAGGATAAGGGTGAGCACTAAGATAGTAGTAGAAAAGGCGGGGCATATAGCAAAATTTTGCAAGGAATTTTTTTTGCTAAGACGCAGGAAGTAGTTTTGTAGTTGAAATTTTGAGTTATGGACGGTTTTTTAAAAAAAGCAGGCAGTTTGTTTTGTTTTCATGTTACACCTGATCCTGTGTCGTAATTGGTTTAAAATCACGTGTCCGCGGATATTTTATGCGGTTGCTATGTATAATGGAATGATGCTTTCTTAAATTGAATGTAAATCAAGGAATCATTTCGCTAATTAAATTTACTAATTTTGGTGATGAATAAATATAAATCGTACATCAGGAATGATACTTCCTTTAAAGTAACGTAATTCAAGGAAGTATTTTGCTAATAAAGTTTACTATTTTTGATAATAAATAAATATATTTTGGTAATTCATAATTTATTAAATATTCTGATTGGTGAATGTTAAATCAAAATTAGCAAGTGCTTTGCAATTGCCAATGTTTTTTTCTTAATTTTTCTTGTTTAATATAATCATAATATAACTATATCAGATCACAATTACTATTTTTCAAGATCTTGCATATATTAAGAGAGGTAACAAAAATCAGGTGATTTTTTAGGAGAAAAAGGAGTAATAAATTTAAAATTATATATAAAGACCTAATCAAAATATATATTAAGAGGGAGGAGAAGGGTAAGTTTCTGATAAAAAAAAATCAGGTAATAAATGATACTGCCCTAATATAAAAATCTATTATTATCTTCATCCACCCTGTTTAGATAATATTATCTCTTTAGAAATAAAATATATTTTAAATAATATTGATTTATTTTTTTGTAAAATATATGTGTTTAGTAATAAATAATTTAGATATTTATATATACTAAAAGCAAATCCACTTTTGATAGACTAAATTCAGTAAAAAAAAATATAAACATAATGATAATATCTTTATATTAACACAAAATAATTAATAGAAAAATTGCATTAAATAATATTTTAAAAAAATTTATCACACAATTAGAATAGCATCAACTCTCCTCAACAATTACTTAGACACAAAAACAAGCAGAAGCAAAATTGACAAAAATTCAACAAAAGCTATAGGAAACATTGCAAATGACTTTAACAAAAAAGAAAGAGCAACAAAATTAATAGTTAGTAAGCTTAGAAAGAAGTAAAAAGAAACTTGTAAGAAGCAAGCTATCTAAGAAAAACAAAATTTTGCAAAGAAATTTTTGAAAAAAAGAGAATATCAGTCTGATCCTAAATGCAGATCATCAATAGTCACACAAATATATAAACAAACAAACACGTCTAAAATAGGTCAAAAACAAAATAAAACTGCATATGCACAACAAAACAACAATAACAAAGTCACGTATAAAGAATAAATAGAATTGGCAATAGAATTTTCTAGAAAATTAGGTTAGATTATTAGACAATATAAGCAAAAATAGATTATCAACTGAATTAATAGATATTACAGTATGGCAATGATGATCCTTTACGACTTCATAGAGAGCAGATATGCAGCAGCATCAAAATACATAATGAATATACAACTAGAAAAACTCACTAAAGAAGTTTTAGTTAGTGCACCAAATGATATAGAATATATAGCAAGGAGCTTAATGATAAAAGATATAGAAAAGATCACAAATTCAGAATTAATTATATATGGAAGATTTTGTACAGTATTAAATGAAGCTGAATGCAAAAGAATAAAGAAAGGCTAAATAGAAAAGTAGGCAATTAAGGCCAGATGGGTAAGCCAAAACCCGAAGTCAATTGAATATATAGCCGAAATGAGCAAAGAAGAAATCAAAAAAAAAAGTAACAAGATGGAAAGAATTACGAAAACAGAAGAAGAAGAAAATATGCAAATAGAAGAATCGAAAAAAAGAAGACAAGAAGAAGAACCGAAAAAAAAGATAGAATCGAAATAAAGAAATGTAGAAGAACCAATGCAACAAACTGAAAGTGAGAGAAAGAGAGACAAACAAGCAGAAATTATAGTAATCTCAGGCTCAAGTGCGAGCTTATATGACGGGCTTAAAGAGAAAGGAATTGAAGTAAAAAAAACTAAAAAAGATAAAGAAGCACCAATAAAAAGAATTGCGAGAGATGAGATTAAAAGCATTAGAAAAGAGATACAAGAAATTGGAAAAAGAGACTAACAAGACTTGTTAGCAGAGATAGTATATGATCTAATAGAATGCAGCATGTAATTACCAAATAACAGAATATGTGAAGGTAATAAATTATTTGTTGCAAAAGCATATGTATGCAAAGTACTAGGGAATATACCTGAAGAAAGAGTCACAAACTTAGAAGGTATCTTAAGCAAAGACAAATATATGAAATCAATACAAGAGGTATTCAAAAATGGAAATACTGTAGTTGGATAGAAGTAAAATTCGATTGCGAATATAGCAGAACAAATGCAATCAAAAGAATTGAGAAGAAAGAAGGAGACGGGCTTTGGCTTATTCCAGATTTGAACAACGAAGAACAAAAACCTGGCCGAAGAAGCAGAGAGAATAATTACAAAAAAGAGAGAAGCAGGTGACAAGAAGAAGAACCGCAAGCCTTCAGGAGAAGAGATCTTTACGAAGAAACAGAAAGAAAAGAAAAACAATACGAAAAAAGCAGAACAGAATGCACCAGATATATTACTATCTAGAATCTACCAAAATCAACTAGTACAAAAGAAGTTCAGTATATGTGCAAAAAATTTAGTAGACTGGAAGACATCACGATTAAAAGAACAGAATTTAGAACAGTAGCAGAAGTAGAGCTAGGATTTAACATAAAGGATTACAAGCTGCCTTGGGTTCTACTATTAGAAAATAGAAGGTTAGTGCAGATTTTTAAAGGTAAAGAAAATAGAGAAGAAATGAGTAGCTGCTTTAGGCACATCATAAAACTAGAAGGCATTCCAGAAGGAGCTTCAGAAACATTATTACTAGGTTGTATTAAAGAAAAAGAAGCAAAGGCAGTATATATTCTAAGAAAAAGAAATGGCCGAATAAAGCAAGCAGCAATCATCACTTTTAAAAATAAGTTAAATTTGAAAAAAGCAACTAGTAAGCTAGTTAGATACAATAACTGGATACTAAATTGGAAACAGAAATGCAGATATAACAACTGCTCACAAAGCCCAGAAAGAGACACATAGAGAGGAAGATCTCGACAACCAAAAGCAGCCTTTATAAAAGGAAAATGAAGAGAAACTTCATATGATAAGAAGAAAGAAAACGCAGAAAAACAAGAAAGAGATAACTCAAGTACAAGAGAAAAATACAAAGATAATAAGTGAAGTCGAATCCAAGATAACTGAAAAGTAGACTCCAGCATTATAAATAGAATTAATAAGTATCAAATAATACTTAAAGAAATATTAAGAAGATTAAATAGTATAAACAATGAGCAGGCAGTACCTGTTCAACACTCCTAAAAGGTGCTTTAGTTGAATTTCTGAAAACTGATCAGAAGACTGGCTCCTTTCACAGAAGCTCTCAGAATAGATATAACAACAAGAAAAAAGAAGTCTTTGATCAACAAATAGACATATACAAAAGAAAGGGGAAAAGAAATGTAACAAGCAAAAACAAGATCCAAAACTTCAATACACTAAAAATTGGATTCCACAATATTAACAATATCAAAACATGCAAAAACAGAGTAGAATCAACTATAGATTTTCTGAAAGATAAGAATATTAATATTTTAGAAATAGCAGAAACAAACCTATCCGAGAAGGAAGGAAGATTTTTAATTAAAAAGCAAGA